TGTAACTGCGATAAATTTTGCATTCCGCCGTGATGGTGATTTAAAAAACGGCACTGCCCATGATTAATTTCATCTTAACATCAAGAAACTGATTAGGGTGATGGAAAGGATCAGTATAAAATTAAGTAGACACATAATGTATATATTATTCAGTGAAACATGTTTGAATGAAGATACGCTGCCTAAACACACACACACACACACACACACACACACACACACACACATATATATATATATATATATATATATATATATATATATATATATATATAAATAAAGAAGCGTTACAACAGTTTCTTTCATTTTTGAATAAAAAGAAACTCTTGGATAAATTCAGTTTGGAAATCACATCTGAATACGTATCTGCTGAAAATTCGTTCACTTTATCTGCGTTAGCAAATGTCTTTGAATCTAAAGTACTAAATTTCAAAGTCACATTTTTTTAAATTTTCAATTTTTTATATACGCTATTTATAATAGAATCTAAAGACATTAAGTAGGATTCAAGTTTGAATTTCAAAGAAAGTTAGTTAACCTCCTCCTCCTTCTTGTTCTTCTCTATATAAATCTTGGTTGACTTCATGATTTGCACTAATGAGAAACATCCACCACTTGTCAACCAATAGTTTTGTAGTAACTTTGATCAAATCCAAATTCAAATCTAATAATTAATTATTTTAGAGCCAGTAAAAAAAAAAGCTTCTTTGAAACTAAAAGTTTCTTTCGAACTAAAAAGCTTATAATCTGAACTTCAAATGATTCCGCCAACAATATCCTGATAAATTGCTAGAGTTTGAAAAAAAAATGCTTTTCTTGGATTTAGGGAACAATTCTCAAAAACAATTTATCCGATCCGTCTAATATTTACATAAGGAGTGCTATCCACCAGTAGAGCCAGAGTTGAGGCCGTCATTCGTTTCTTCCAGCTGTAGGTACACACACACATACATACAGGCGTGCGCGAGCACGAACACACTTTTCACCGAACACACCATCCAATCAAAACGAGTCAAATGTTCACTTTGCAACCTACCCATGCATACATACACTCACGGTATTCGTAGGACTTCCTTTTTTTCCCCACCGACTGACTGTAATTTCTCGTTCAATACGAAATATACATTTCACTTCAGTCAGACCGTCTTCAAAGACGAAGATTTTGTCTCCTTTGTTAAAAATAATTTATTACAACTGTTACTGAAACTACACCTTTTATCTTCTCGTTCTTTTTGTTCACGCATTGTTTGGATTTAATTTTACCCTCTGTGTTTTCACTTAATTATCACATGGCAATATTTTCGCTGGTAGAGAAGACAATTTTATCTGGACTCGGAATTAAGTTCTTATCAACTCCACCAAAGTTACTAAAAAAAAAAACAGTTTTCACTGCTTTGTGAATAGGGCGTCGTCGTTATCGTATTAAAAAGTGTAGAGATTCGCATAACGGAGATAAGTCAAAGTCACCGCCGGGGTGGGGAATGATCACGCACTTAAATTGAAAGGCTTGTTTAGCTTAAAAGATAGCATTTAAGTAACTGGTGACAGTATAATTAATTTATCTCATTTTATTAAAGTAAAAATATCTGTAATAATAAAGTGCAGTGTACGTATGTCCGTCAGTCTGTTTTTCGATGTTGACGAATCATAAACAACTTGAAGTAACAAGTAGTAACTACTGTAGTTACACGCGATTAAAAATTAAGTAAATAACAGTATAACTCATTTAAAGTTAAATATTGAACAGAGTGAAAGTTTTAAAAAACAATTCTTTATTAAAGGTTTAACTTTAATTTCGTTTTTTGTCACAATTGCAATGTGTAATTAAACCGTAATTAAAACTTAAGTGGGGCACAGTACATTGCTCATATGTTTTTTGTTATGGGGTCCACTCCTTTTTCACACAAGTGGACTCGACCAGTGTGTACTTGGACTGCTGCCGTTAAATACCCAGAGTCAGTCAGAGTAAGAGAGCAGTGATTGTGATTGAGTTGGAGGTAGAGTAATAGTGTGAGGTAACCGCTTGTAGAAGTCACAGTTACGAACACGTAGACTCTAAGGAAGTCCTACTTCGAGACTGGATTTACCAGACTATATTGCTACTAACCGCGTTTCTGGATTTACTAACCGTATTACCAATTGTATTATTGTGTAAATACATTTATTTGTTATATTTCATTCCTGCGTTTGTCATTCATTGGAGACCGGATTTCATCTGGGAATCCACAACATTTTTTTTTCTTTTTCTAGTGCTCATATTGTGGTGTATGCAAAATAAATCATAGTTCAGGTTCCCTAATGTCTTTTAAGAGTCACTTTTTGTGAAGGGATCATAAAGTATGGTGATTTTAAAAGAAAATAAAAATTGCGTGCAAAATAAATGTAAACAAACCACGAAGATTGGTTGCATGTACAAAGAAAGATATTATGCTGAAGAAGGCTGTTGAATAAAGATAAAATAATTTCATTATTTCTAAATTCTTATAACTTTTACATACATAGGACACTGAAGGTAAAAGGCCAAAGTCCCAAACACCCTGTGCAGCAGCTAGTCTGAAGTCCATCCGAAGAACTCTAGGCTAGTTAGTGATAAATCAGGGAATAAAAATCCTGATCGATTATCCCACAATCTTCACCCACATTTATTTGATAACTTTTATTCTTAGATTTCTGGATGTGATTAGAATATGAGCTCAAGCAAAAAACAAACAAAAAAAAAAGAATAGCCTCATTAATAACCCAAAGTGTTACTCCACCCCAACTCCAGGAAAGTTACTAACCGAGCCTTCTCAGGCTAACATTCTCAGCTGACGTGAAGTGGGAAGGACTATATTGAATCCATTGCTAGGCTAGCTGCTAAGAAAGTTGGTTCACTGTATCAGGCAAGAAAATTTTTCTCTCCAGAATCTATATTGCATATCTGTAAGTTTACCATTTGTCCATGCCTAGGAGATTGCTGCTACATATGGTCCGGTGCCCCAACTATTTGCCTTGAGCTCCTTGATAAGATCCAAAGAAGAATCAGCAATATTATTGCTCCCAATCTGGCAGCTCAACTTCAGTCACTTACTCACTGCCATGAGATTGCCTTTCTGTGCCTTTTTATAAATACTTTCATGGTAATTGTTCGGATGAGCTCTTCCCTGTAATACTTAGACTCTATGAATTTAAGTGCAGTACTAGACTGGTACTGAGATCTCATCAACATACAGTTCAGCTAGCTAGATGTAGCCATAAGTTCTATGCTAACAGTTTTGTTTCTTCCACTTCTTCCATGTGGAACTTCCTTTTGGCTGCATGCTTTCCAGCCAACTTTAATCTGCAAAATTCTACTGTGTCCCTGATTACTTTTTCTCTTCTGCTCATTTTCTGTTCCTAATTCTTCCACACTCTGTAACACCTTGTGTTTTAGTGGCTTTACTGCTTTGCTTGGGGTGATTCTGATTAATATATATATATATATATATATATATATATATATATATATATATATAAAAGAAATTTAAATGCTATGTCAATCACTTTCTTCCTATCCTCCTGATTACTCTTTTCTCTCTCTCTATTCATTAATGTTTCTGTTCTCGATTCTTCCACACCCTTTAACCCCTTGTGTCTTAGTGGCTTTACTGCCTTGCTTGCGCAATGTGGTCATTTGGTTCCATTCATGTCGTTCTGCATCTTTTCTTTCTATTTAAGTTTCAGTGCCAGTATCTTCAAATATTTTCCTTGTTGGTCAAGTTTCCTTGCTTGTTAATCGTTTTAATTTTGGCTGCAACTGAAGATATCCAGTTTGGAAAATTTATTATTAAAATATGTAATCAGATAGAAAATTAATATTATCTGATATTGTTCTTTAATTTTTTGATGTTCAAATTTTTCATACTTTCTGATGTTTCCTAAATCTTTACAATACCTTATTTCTCACTTGAATTTAGATCTTTGATTTGAAAGTCGCATGAATGACAGCCTCTAGCCCAGCTGTTAGCTCCATCCAATGTAGCTCTAGATTCATTACAAAGACTTATTGTTGAGAAATCAGTTTCCATGTACTTCTTTGTTCAAGTTACGCAATATCTTTTGTAAAATTTATTTAAATATGGTAGCTTGGTTGCTTTTGTGTATTTAAAAGTTTTTTTGTTTTTTTTTACTGATAGCTCATCCATTACAAGGACCAAGGGCCACTAAAAGTAAAAGCTTACTGAGTGAGATTGGTGTAAGGGAGGGGGGAGGTGAAAATTAAGCTGATGTTCTTAAAATTCTGCATCTTTTCTCTTTGTTTACATCGTTAAGGATACTGAATGGGATTATCTCCCTTCTTACAAGATGCATTTACAAATGTCCTCAGGGACCTTGGGATGAGAGTACAGGTGGATGATTAACTCCTGACAAAGAGAGAGGTGGTGGGTTAGTGAATGAATGAAGACTAGCACCTTAAATAAAGAACAGAGAAAAAGTGATATCATCCAAGCTAACTTTGACCTTCCTAGAAACATTATGAATAACATTGTCTTTATAATCATCATTTCAGATCCTGGCTGCTTTTTTCATAAATGTTTTCAATTTCTCTGCATGGGACTAATCGTGATTAGTGCTGTATATCAAAATGACTGGTGAGTCTCTTATAGTTGGTCAAATTATCTCAGTGCTGGCAGACAAAAAAAAAAGAAAATCTGCCTACTTGAATTTGTAACCCTCATTACCACAAAGGCCATGACAAGAGGAGGGGTAGTATTAAATTCAAGAATTAACAAAATTGATTGATTCATTCATTTTCTACAGCTTATCAACCTTTTGAAAATTATTTAAACCCAGAAAATATTTTGAGATTGTAAAAATTTTTTTTTAAATAATAATGGTTTAGTGATGCAAGTCTTACTAATTAACCCATAGCTAGGGGAGAATAGCTTTCACAAGCATATTTGCATGTAAGTGAATATACCGAACCCAACGGGAATTGACAACACTGAGCAATTATCCATTAAACCACCTACACATCCAAGCTTACAACATCTGGTATTCCCAAGCAGTCACCTATCTAAGTACTGACCAGGCTTAGCATTGCTTAACTTTGGTAATCAGAGAGGAACTGGTGTTTAGATGTGATATGTCTGTAAACTGAATTAACAATTCAGCCAGCAATTCTATAATCTTTCAACTTGTGAAGATAACCAGCATGCTAAAAACTCTGTCAAATGCATTCAAGATATCCAAAGCAACAGCCCAAGCTTCACTTTTCTTATCTATAGCTCAAGACTCTGTTAAAACAGGATTCCGCTGAACCAACAGAGGATAACTTTAAAAAATCTTGAATACTTCTTAATGATTAAATCAACTTTGGCAGGAAGGGAAATAAGCTACTGCCACTGCTTAAAACATATCTGTTAAGCTGAAGAGTAGGAATCTAATTTGTTAGCCAAGGATGGTGAGTTCAATCCTCTTTTCACTTTTTCATGTAGAACATAGTGGCAGCTTATTTATCACACATGTTTTAATGTACACTTTTTTTACTTTTAAGGAAAAGAAATTCTAGGCTCACATACACAGTGGCGTAGCTAGGGGGGCGATGGGGGGGAGGGCAGACCGCCCCGGGTTCCAGCACAGGAGGGGTGACACAATGTAACCCCCAACAAAATTTTTCAACCAGGCTAAGGTGCTAAAAATAGTCTGAAAACTGGTGGAGACACAGGGTTTCGCAGGCGGGCATATGACTCCCCAGAAATAATTTATGACCCCCCAGTTTTGTTCCCCCGGCAGAAATGTTCTAATAAATTGTCGGGAAATTTGTGAGTAGGAAAAATAGCAATGTTTTCAGCTTTTGATTTGAACTGATTATTTTGTGGTATTGGATTTTGTCTTGGATCATACATTGTAAACAGTAACGTACTGGTCAGTAGAGTAAAGTAGAGGTAGAGCATGTATGAAAATTTAGCTACAGCTAACCATTCAGCATAGGGTGAATCGGGGTCATTGGGGTGACATTTGAGCAGACCGCCCCGGGTGATGTTTACTCTAGTACGCCACTGCACATACATGATCCAGAATCTTGTTTAAGAAGGCACCTATCTTAGGCAATCTGAAGCTTGGCTTGATCCAGAAATCCATTCAAGTTTATGTATTAGCTTTTGTTCAAGCATTTCATGAATAATTACAGTTTCAATTCGCAGCCTTTTATCCAATATTTGAGCAGATGAGTGAGCAGGCCTGTATTGTCAGTTTTACATATTACTTAAAGATTTTCCAGCTTGTCTCCAATGCATAAAAGTTCTAGAAGATATTTTCTATAAAAAGTGCAGGCTTCCATAGTATCAACCATAGCATGTGTCTCTGCCTGTGTACTTTTCACAACTTTGTTGACTATGCGATTGCCAAGAAATAGGAACAGAAGTTATCATAGTCAACTACAATAAAGACAATCTATCCTGCTTGAGATCCTCCATTGTTAAGTCCAGCAAATCTTGCATCACTATATGCTACCAGTTTCATTCTTGTAAAATTGCCTAAGTTAGATATTAACAGTTCTGGAGGAGATTTTCTTAGCTTTTCTAGCTGCTTTATTTACCGGAGATATACTCTCCACCTTTCAATCTTTTAAAGATGATGTCACATCACTTATAACTTAAATCAGGCTGTGTCTTTGTAGCTAACCAGTTTAGCTTTCCTTCAGCAGATATTCAAAAATAGAAAGGGGCATAAGGCAAGGATATATCTTCTCACCGGACTTATTCAACCTATACAGTGAGGCAATTCTGAGAGAACTGGAAATCCTACCAGAATTCATCACAATCTTAAAAACATAAGATATGCACATTATTTAGACTATTGTCCTTATCTTTTTTGCCATATCTATCACAACATTTCGGCCGTTGTACGCTCCGGCCTTATTCAGGTGGTTGGAATGTCGAACCGAACCCTTTATTTTGCTAACTGGGGTAGACTGTTCTAATTCCACATGCCATGTTTGATGGATGTCAGTTATCAGTTATCTCCTATTAATTTCCCTCTGAAAGTTCTCCACTGCCTTAACCAGGTATTGAACTCACGCTCTTAGGGTCCTGTCACTGGATCTAACCAACACCTTTATCCACTGTGCCATGTGTCCTTACATCTTCATACCCAGATGTCCTAATTTCTGGGTATTATAAACCTAATGTCTTCAGCAACCATTTTTACCAGTGCTCATATTGCAATTTTGCTGTTATCATTGCATGTTTTTACCATGTTTTACAATAGTCCGAATAATGTAAATAATGTACATAATACCTCATCTCAGAAATATAGACAGACTCATAAGATATGCAGATGAAACAGTTCTCATAGCAGACAAAAAAGAAATTACAAAATCTCCCACAGAAGGAGCTTAGCTGTGGAACACTTTATCTGTCTCAATTACTGCTTCTCCTCATCATTTATTTAAAAAGAAACTTAAAATATATTAAAAATAAACTGAATCCAAATGACAATAATAACTCAATAATGATTCAATAACTCAATAATAATAATAGATCTACAATTGTTACAACTGATGCTATAATTAATAAACTTCATATTTAATTTTGTAACTATAATTAGATACACTATTTTATATTTTATTTTAGTTTATTAAATGAGTTAGTTAACAGCTTGGTCATATTTGGATGGGAAGTTTCCCAATTTCATTAGCTCTTCTCTAACTGTTAAATACCATTATCAAGAAGCATCATTCAGTTTATGTGCACATTTATTTAACTTCCATATATAATATTCAGGAATTTCAGCTTCTTGAAGAGGTTTTAGAAAGACTGTCCTTTCAAATTGCTTCCCTTGCAAAAATGTTCTCTTTATATCCATAGAATGACATGTCCACCTCAAAGCCACAATGATGGTCAGGATAATTCATAGACTCTCCTTTGAGCAAGTAGGGGAGCCACTTCTTACATATCCTGAGTTTTAATCTTCAAATCCTTTTCCAATCAGTCTGGCCTTTATTTTAATTCCATCTTTTGCCTCTTTTTTGGTGCAAATCCATCTTGTATTTTGGCCCGAGTTTGATAAACAGAATACACTTTGTTTTCAGCCCAGCTATGTAATTCCTTCTTTTTGAATTCAGCATATTCTACAATATTGACTGGTGAAAGTAAGCTAATTTCATCTGAAAATTCCTTTTCAAGAGGGTTGCTTTCACTGTAGGTTTTCTTTTTTATAGTTAAGAAAGTCTTTCCACTACCACATTTTTTTTCCCAAAATGATGCCAAAATGGGTCATCCCTCCTCAACACATACATTCAAAATATTTTTTTATTTTTGACAGGAGCTTTTCCAGCATGACAGATAACTTTCATTTTCTTCCAAGAAGAGTCATTGTCTGATGACACTTTATCTCTTGCCCTATTCTTGGTAAAATTACATTATCAGTCTTCACAGATATTTTTGATGGATAACCAGCCTTTTTTGGCTTCTGACTGCTTCTCAATTCATGAGATATGGTATTGTCACTCATAGAAGGACTAATAGTTTTTCCATCAAGTGAACCATTATATTATGAAATCAGTAATTTTGTGGTCTAATATATTTTCAAGAGTTCCATACACCATCAGAGCCACTTGGTTAGTTTCCATCTTGAACAGAAAGTCCAACTTTTCATGAAACAACTTCATTCCTTCCTCTGGGTTTAATTCATCAGGGTTCTTTTTCAGCACTGCTTCTCTGGTTTTACCATTTTAACTCAAAGACACAGTTGGAGCTCTTTTCCTCATATCTATATTTGTTACCATTTCCCAGAACTTCATTTCTTTTTTCCCTTTTTTTGGGATAAGCTCTGATGGGACTAAAAACTTAATATTTGTAACCATTTTTTATGAACTACGCTCTGCTACCAGACATTAAAACAGGATCTTGCTCAATCAACGGAGGGACAGCATTTTATTTATTATCGCTTTTATACGGTAATTTTGGCACAATGCCAAAGTGAAAGTTGGGTGAGGGAGGTCATCACTAATTATCCTAGACTTAGTTAATCAGACTCAAAACTCATTCATTCATTCATTACAATTTACTCATTAATTGCAAAAACTCATCCATCACAATTCAATCCTACAAGTACCACAAAACCACATATTGACAGGGAACCTACAAAACAACTCCATGCTGTAAAAATTTCTCGATGCATAAATGTTCAATGTCTCTTTTTTTCTCTTTTTTTTCCTACAAAAATATGTAAAAATTTCATGAATCATGAAATGAGGGGGGAGGGCATGACCCCCCACCCAAATCAAACTAAAACATAACAGAAAAAAAATAAGAATAATGAATAATAAGAGTGGCCATTCTACCAATCAACAGAATCAAGAAGCATTCTTACAAATGAAGTGGGAAGGAAAAACCAAAGACTGACTGAGTCAAAATAAAAAAAAGGAGACAAAAACAAACTGGAGAGGTTGACAATCTTGACATGCATCGTAACAAAAGAGAAGGCCAGGATCAACACTTACTCATATTAACTAGGTAAACAAATAGTGTCTAACTTAACCAGGGAAGAATTCACAGGAAACTGTCTTGTTGTGTCAAAGGGGACTTAAAAAAGAAAATCAAGGCTAGCCCCATTCACATGAACCAGGCTCACCATAGTTACCCACCTTTCACTGAAATCTGTCAATAAAAAACACTTTCTATCTTCATCTTGAGCTGATGCCAAAAGAATTTGACTGACCACATCCTGATGCAAATAACATTCATATCGCAAGATTCCCTCTACCTACGTCATCTTTACCACCATCCTTGCCATGGCTAGCAATGTGAAAAACACAATCTGTTTCACCCCAGGGAATGGGGACAACACATTATCACACAAGTATGTGAGATCAATGGACATGAGTTGCTTAGGATGTATACGAGCTGCCAACTCACCAACATAGTCCCAGAACAGGTGCACCTGAAGAAAGTGGTAGAAGACGTGCAAAGCTATTTCCTCTAAACCACGGTCACACCGATAGCAGTCAGGCAAATCTGCCCATCCCCTTCTGAAGTCATTGAGAGATAACACGTTGTGAAACAATCGCCAGTAAGCAAAAACTCAGTGTTGCTGAGATAATCTATTGCTGATGCTGACAAGTTGAGCCGGCCACATAGAGGA